CTTGGAAATGGTGCGCTTGAAAATGAAAAAGAAAAATATTCGTTTTAAGCAAGCAACACGTGTTACTCTATTTCAGTTTCACTTGTTCTCTTTTTCCCTGCATCTCGGATGCGAGGATTGCAGGTACTGTACAGTATAAATTCTCATCCATTAATGATCGATAATGACAGTATCATATACTGTTGCAATAATAACAGTTCGTTATAAGGGCTGTTATAACATGCATCAATAATAGGAAGCAAGTCTAAAATATAGCCCGGTTTCCAACAGCAGCAGCAGCAGCAACAACTGTTTTGAAAAGATGAGCATCTCGTCATCCTTATCACAACCCGTTTCACTATAGTACACGGGTCAAGCAACAGTCATACAGGTCAGGGTGTGTGTGTGAATGTGAGATGAAACAAATGTCCGAGGATAAGGGTGCCCAGCAGCAGCAGCAGGGATTCGGTTTCATCACTTATTGCCCTCTTTTCGACCACGGGTTCTTCTGCGGTCGTGGCAGCAGCAGCAGCAGAGAACGGGGAAGGGGGAGTGGGTGTGCTTTCGATAATGATCAAAGTTTCTGCAGCTCAGGGTTCGGGCAGCAGCAGAAGACCTCTATCAGGCACCTATATTGCTTTCAGCCTTGTTGGATCGAANTTCAAACTACAGTGGAATATATACAGAATATATGCTTTGCTTTCACAGCATCAGGTAGCACATCATGCAGTCGCCGTGAATTGCACCGGCATCAAATTATCGCACATTTTCTCGTCGGGCCTTATTCTTGCTGCACAGCACAATACAGTATATTGTAAAATATATAGAACCTGCCTGATGCTGCCAAATTTCCTCCGTCAGTCGGGGTAACAACCGCTTATTTATGGATTACCCGGCGAAAGGAAAAATGAGAAAGAAAGCTCAGCAGTCAAGGGTGTAGGTGTTCTTCTTCCGCTAGCTCGCGTGAGCCCCTGCTTTTTTGCTTTCACAATACTGTACACCTTTACGTAATTTTCCTTGTTTTTTTCTATCGCTTTGGTCTTGATCTCCTGACCTGGTTTTTTGAATGTAAGATATAGATATGATATGATATGAATAAATAACCAGAACAAGCAAGATCGCGTCTGCATGTGTACATGATACAACTTGACTTATTATGAACCCGAATGAATTCCTTATTCCAGAAGCGTGGCACTTCTTTCATAAGAATGAATCCGATTTTGTAAATGGTTATTTTTCTTAAACGAACGATAATTTTTGCCTACAATAAAATATGGACCCCGGCGAATTTTAAAATTTCTCAGGCTTCCTCGCTCGGGTGTATAATAAGAAATTGCATTGCTGATGGGTGGCTGTTGAAATTTCCAGGGGAGATTATTCGAGTACTTTAAATTTACCAATTCAAAGTACAGAAATGGAAAATTTTGATGAAAATAACGTACTCCTAGTTTGAAAGCAGCGGCTGAAGAAAACGGATAACCAAGAACTTTCAATAAGAAATTCTTGCAACAGCAGAAAAATTACAGGATCAAAATAAAGTATCATTAAAACTCGCCTCAAGCTCCAAGATGGATTATATTTAAGGATGTTCCTCAACTAATCCATCTACGTATACGTTGATGATGTAATCTTTGGGTTGGGTTGCAAATATTTTTCCTTTTCTTTTCTCTGCGAGAAAACAAAAAGATGCAAAAGTAAAACCACCACCAGCAGGTTTCTCATCTATCTGTCTATTGCAAGGATGTGCATGATGTCAACAATACCATTTTTGGGAATTTCAAGAACCCGCTTTGAAGGTTATTGCAATAGTATAGATTTTAAAATTGGATTCAATTTCGAATATAAATACACAAAATCTGAATAATTTATGCCTAAAGACGAGGACTCATTATTCGAGAATAAATACACCTTCGCATTACTGCAGATGTATATACAGTATATACAGTATATATATATATATGAGCTTCAAAACTCGGGGATATGTACCAGAGCGTTCATCATGACGCCAGCAAGTGACGAAGCCGGGTATTAAAAGATAATAAATGGAATTGCGGATGGATGGTTTCCCCGCATTTTGAGAGGGGCGAAATCTTATATGCACACACACACACACACACAAAAAAAAGGATTTAAAAAACAGCAGTCAGCAAATACAGTACAGTATAGTTTTCCCCCGCAAGCTTTCATCAGCAGCCAGCAGCAGCAGACCCGAGACTCATACTCGGAAAAGCCATTAGAGCAAAGGTTCCCCCCCCACCTCTTGGTGATGTCCAAAGAACCCCGCGTTTTCCCACCGACGAATTCCTTATTCTCCTTCGTCTGTGCACACAGGCAGCACACGCACACACATACACACGCGCACCCGCGAAAAAACACCCCAGCACCTATATATATAAGGAAAACAGCAGCAGGTTATTAGAACCTGATATCATTTCCGTCCTAGGGAAAATCAAGAGGCAAAAAACAGAGAACAAGACACAATAATGAACAGTCAAAACCAGTTCTTGCTTCCGTAAAATAGTTGAAAGCCTGCATTTCAACCCGAAAAATACCCTCTTTATCGTCGTCGTAAAATGTCGTACAGAGGGTACTTCCGCTGATGCGCGACTAATGTGACCAGAACTCTGTCTTAATTTATAAAAGAAGTCAAATAATTGCATGCTATCTGGACCCTTTGCAATGCAAGCTACATCCAAGTATTTGAAAATTATGTACAAAAGTGCGAGGCATAATAGGACATCGAAATGAGAATAATAACTGACTTGAAAAGACTTCCAAAAAACAAGTCCACGATTTTTTTTTGGAAGTCGTCACGCAAATTTTATATGCTCTACTATTGCCAATTATTACTCAAATGAATTCTCCGTATTCGGAATGTATTTGTAATAACTTTTTCTTAAGGCTGATTTCAGAAGCAAAAGAAGGCTTTTTTTAACATGTGATTCAAGTTCATTTCAATGCAAGCTCATAACCGACAGATGAAGTATTTTTTTTTCAAAACGTGATGAAAACAAAGGGCAGTTCAATACAGTATTAATTGCACAAGATTGTTTGCCCTTCGGATGAATTAAAAATTTCACTCAGTCCTGATGAAGGCAATTATATAATCGAGCGGACACATTACTCAATAATTTCCAACGAAATTAAATACGAAGCATAACTGAATAACACTAAAAAACCTCATTTGAATTCCGAAAATGATCAAGAAGTTTTCATCTCCACATTTTGTGGAAGGATATGAGAAAAAATTCGTAATATTGCATTATAAAATAAACACATATGCTTCCGAAGTTGAAGCATTTTTTTCTTCAGGTTTTTTCACGGCAAGAATTTTATATCTTAATATTGAACCCCGTTTTCCGCGAGCACATATTAGCATCTCGCCATTCAGCGGCACCTTTTACTCGGGTAGGGGGTAAAATGTGGTTGCGCGTCCATCAAAAAGAAAACGAAGAAGGTTTTAATAAATAAATAAAAGATGGTAGAAATATAGTCGATAAGATTTTAAATTTATTCTCGGCCACTCGAACAAGTCGGAAAATGAACGAGAATAAGTGATTTGGTTCGTTTTGTGGACGACCAAGACCGCGTCCACCTCCGAAGGCAGCTGACGCACGACTGCTGAGGCCTGGCCCCGGACCCGGCCACTGACTTTATTCTTTCCTCGTTCTTCTCCTCGTCAGCCCGATAAGTTAATGAAGACCCTATAATATGCACGTTTTGCAAACCAATGTGGATCACGAGATGAGCAACAGAATGAAATGCGCAACGTAATTCTCAGACTTTGAAAAAATACATACATACATGATAATAAGGATACTGTAATAATGTATACCACTCGTCATCAATAAGCCTGTCGAGCTGGCGAAAAACTGCACGAAATTACTCTGCGAAAATCGAGGAAAATTGTCGACATACCCCTATATTGAAAGCAGCTATAACGACCTTCCATATGGCCTCCTTATTGTCTGATGAAAGTCATCTCCCATCCCATGTGAGGTCATCATCAGTAGGGGAACTCGGTGAAGGCAGAACGGTCATGTTTTCAGTGAAAGCCAGGCAAGTGAAGCACCCCGACAAGGTTTTGGTCTTTGGCGACCATCCCGTGTTGGGGGGCTGGGAATTCGGACACGGCGTTGGCATGAGCCTCAGGGTGCCTCATGTTTGGGTTACGCATGTGCGGGTCCCGACGAGTGTCACTAGGCTCCACTACAGGTGCTGTGCAATTAACAGCATTATTTACTCGAGTAATTATTCCTATTATTAAATCAATAATAATAATAATAATAATAATGTCGCTTCATCGTTGTGGAGGAGAAAGAGCTCTTTTATACATAGGAGCTCAAGATGTTTTTTTTTTTTACATTTATGCGTCGAGTTTCCTCTTTTATTATATAATTATTGAGGTATAAGTACACTGTGCATGATGTGAGCATGCTAATGTTGAATGCGAAAACAATTGCCTGTCTATTGGGTGTACAGTGATACAGTAACTGAATCAAATATGTTCATCTACATTTACTGTAATGTATATATACTGTATAAGCATACACGGGATGAGAATCTGTTTATTTTCAGCCAAGACTGTGAATTTGAAATACTGCCTCACATACTGCTTCTTGGTTTTGGTTTGATTTTCCCCAATTTTCAAGCACCATATCATGTACTATAGCTTGTATATACAATATATACGAATGTGCGCAGCAGCAAGACATATAAACTCATGAAGAAACTTAGAAAGTTTCTAATTTCAATTTATTCCTACCGCACGTATAATAACGAGTCGTTGAATGTGCAATTGAAACTGAAGTTTTCCGAACGAACGCAATTTTTGGCCGAATTTTTCTTCAGTAATGTACTGCCTTATTGTTTCGCGTCTCCTGTATATACTGGCAAAACAGCAACAAATATGAAAGTCGACGTGTCTGAATAAAATGACGCAATACTGTACACCCAAGAAATTTATTTTGATCAAGAGTTGCCTCGTCTGCTATTGTGACGATATGATGAGAAATGTCTCAAGGAATTTCTTCGACGATTCGATTAGAATGAGAATGAGAATACGTCGGCGTATGATGATTATGAAAGTAATTTTTGTGACCACAACAACGAGCATTTCATTTCACGGAATACAAAAGGTACCTTGTCGCGACTCCACTGGACTGCTGCCACAATTCCTCATCGGCACCAGCAGAAGCAGCAGCCACCAATAAATGGAGAGTGAAAAGCTGGGAGTGTTACAGGAAAGCGCGGATCAAGTTTGTCAACCCAAGGGACGAAAATGAGAGGTGCCAGCTATAGCATTTCAGTATACTGTAGTGTCTTATTCATTTTGATACAGCTCATATGTAATACGGATGCTGTGCATACATATAATGAAATATACCGTCTATGACAAAAACAGAAACGTGGAAATGTGCTGGTGTAATGTATTTTCACTCCTCTCGGTCCTCGTACATTATGACGCGCAGGACGAGGATCCACAGGGTCATGGACACCACCAGAGACGGCCATGACATCTACGGGTCCTACGACGGGCACTTCAGGGTGGACCCCTTTGGCTGGCTCACCCCCGGGGTCAACCTCGTGCACGCCAAGGTGGCCCCGAATGCCGTCGAGCTATCATTATTGAGGGCAGCAGCAGTGCCATCACAATCCAACAACAATACAGCAAATAATCGTGATAATAAGGGGTCATCGAAAGCAGGCCTTCTCCTGCGACTGCACGTGACGTCATTCTCGACGTCCCATCGTCGTCATCAGGTTTGATTATTCTGCAGCCTCATCACCATCTGTTGCTACTCATGCTGCTGCGCTTGCGATAAACTTTACAAATATTATTGGCGTCAATGTATAGCAAAAACAATACTGTACAGTACTGTACTCCGTCGATTATGTGTGTTCACCTTATTACTATTATTCATCGTATATACAGTATAAATATATATATATATTTGCATGCAGACGAGCATCGTCTCGAATGACCAGCAACTTATTCAGAGGCAGCAGAGCTCATCTGCGCCAGGCGTGAAATATGCGAGCAGTTCATCTTCAATTCCTCATGATGGGTGAGTGATGATCTTTTCATCTACCGTATATAGCAAAATATATGCAGTACAGTACAGTATGTGGATTTGTCAGCAATCAGCAACAGCTCATCACTCGTGCGAAAACTAAACTATAATGTAATGAGGTCACATAACTAACAATATATTGTGTACTGAATACGAGCTGGTGAGGGATCAAGAGGCAAAACTTTGTATACCGCCAGCATCATCATCATTTCCATTGCCATTGTTTACGTATACATTTCTATATGCACCAATGGAATTTATATTTCGCTGTCCCTCTCTTATATATATATACTGTACTGTATAGAAATGTGCATATCATATCAATCTTTTAATCCGTCATTGTTTCCTGTGTAAGTACTTGTACTGTTCAAGTACCAGCAGCAGTTTGACTGCATGTGATTCAGGCATACCCTGTTTAAAGATAATGTGCTGATGTATATAGCTTCATACACTTGATGCTGGTTCCTTTGTTGTCGTTTGTCAAATTCGCTTCTTCGCTTGTATAGGTAGTACAACATGTATCCGTAAGAGGGCGCCCTTTAAATTTGGAGGGCATACAATTTGAGAAAATACTTTCGTACGAAATGTGCAAGTCGGGATCTACTGCTGTCAAATCATGCCTGCTGAATAAACTAGCCACGGATATTTTTGAATTTTGCCGCTTTTTAATTACCGTATAATATAGGTTGACTACGGAGGATAAAGCTACTGTATTTTGCGCGGAAATTGGAAGGAAAATGTACAGTGCCGTAATTGTTTTCCAGGTGTGAGACGGCTGAGGGTCATTTGTTGCAAATGGCATCTTCCCAAGGAAGCAATGTTTCCTTCTGCGACCTGATGGTTGAACCGGTCAAGTTCGCACCTCAGCCAGACATTGGAGTGCCATTGAAACCAAGGTCTTTCGTGGTATTTGAGACCTTCTTTTGTGACGACTGTGATATTGGGCTGATATTCAAGCTGACTGCAGAATGTCCAGATGAAGCAAAATGTGTGAGTCACAGCATGAACTGTAATATACTGTATAGGCCGGGGAATTATGCATCTACCAATTTGTACCAATTTCAATGTGCAAGACTTGATTCTTTTTTTTTATGTCTCAACAGAACTCGCCGGAAGATGAGAATTTGTCAACAACAAACAGCAGGGATGATTCAATCGTACCAGACCCACATAATACTGTGGATGCATCTGAATGCCAGCAGCAGGTGAGGAAAATGGCAATTTCATTGTGAGTTTAAATATCGAATTTCTGCTCAAGATGTTTTATTTTAATTTTTCCAGAAGTCCACAGCACAGGTGATCGGCATCGGCGTTATTTCTCTCGGGTTCCTGCGTGTTCCAGGTTTTCATGCATTAAATAAGTGCCATGTTGCATATTAAGACTTTTAGACTGATGCGTACTGAAACGATGATCAGAATAAGAAGTTGGTTTTTTCTGCAATTGTCCTGGTACAAACATACCGTACATTATCTTTCATATTAAATGTCAGTGTACTGTACGTCACGCTCTACGTATATACAGTTCCAGCATTCGAAGCATGAGCAGCACTGATGAGAACTTCATTTTTCCTGTATTGATTTCGCAGTAACTTTTTATTATTTTTATTTTTGGACATGCTGATGAAACGTGCATCCGTCATCAGTTCGATCCCTCGCGATTTACGATGTCCCAAATATGTTTTTCAAAATTCGATTAAAACAATAAAAATAATACAGTGATGATAATCGAGGATCAATGAGATGCTGTAATCGTGACTCGTAATCCCTGCTGTTTTCTTTTTTTTTTTCTTTCTTTCAGGCATTGATCATCAGATGCAACACGAGATTGCACTCATGAGTAGTTCTAGTAGTCCATCGACGACGAGGAGTGGCCAGAAAAACGATGAGAAGCAGCAGCAGGTCAACGTGGGCCACTTGCGAGCGTCCTTCATGTTGGCCAAACCGATCATTCCACCAACTGCTGATGATGACGGCACCAGCACTCCCAGCAGCAGCAGCAGCAGCAAGAAGAAGAATAATAATAATAATATTAAGGAGACCAACCAAAACAACAGCGTCAGTCGGGCCTCGTCGTCGTCGCTCAACTGCCTCTTGGCCAGGGACTGGCAAACTGAAAGATGGACAGGCTTGGACATTGGTCATCGGGGAACTGGGCGGGATGTTGTCTGTGCTGATGTTTCTGAAGGAGACCGAACCAGCACCAGCACGTCGAGGATGTTGAGTATATATATACAGTACAGTACTGTTCACCAACAGCAGCAGCAGCAGCAGCAACGAAGAATCCCTCCATCTCCAATAAATGCAGAATCATTTACATTGAGGTTTTCAAGCCCGATTACATTGCAATATAATGATTATAGCAGAGCATAAATAAGACAAACTCCAACTGACCATTACATATGCACGTGCTGTGCTAAATTATAATTACTGCACTGTATATATTCCGGTGCACGGAAGTCGGCGGCATACCTTGACCCATTCAAGCAATAAAAGACCTATTCAATAATAACGCGTCGGCCGGTGACTGACCTCGAGAAAACGTATTGCGCAGCATATTTGCTATTATTTGGGGCGGTTTTCAAGAGGCCTTATTATTACAATTATTCATCGAAAATTATCGACAAGATGCGTGAACTTTATGCCCTGTACTGTAAATAATAGGTCAAATTACATCAGTTTTCTCTGCAAAAAAAAAAAAACAACGATCATCCCATGTACAGAAGAAGCATGGTCTTTTTGAATTTAAAGACAATTTCATACTTTCTAACAATAACTGCTAAAAGCTCGGAATTGAGAATACGTTTTTATACGACAGTCGTCCAAGTTGGACGGCACAACCTCAGGCCACCTGAAAAATACAATTTTCGCTTTATCAATATTCTTTTCTACATTTTAGTGAAAACAACAAGAAATTCCTCTTTTTTCAGCTACCCTGACAAATTTTTCGAACCTTGTGACAGGGGTTGAGAACTCGATCAGGCTGTAGCTGGAAAGTTTCAACTTATCGATCATAAAGTAAATCGCAAAACTTTTTTTAAATCCGAAAAAAACCCAGAATATTTGAAAATCATGGACTATGTCATGATTTTATTTTCTTACATTCACTCCTACTCAAAAATGTCAGAGATCGCGTCAACCTCCTGGGATAACCCTCGTTTATAGAACAGTTTAATTATTCACTACTGTAACGTATATACGAGTACAAGGGTCATAGATATAAAGTACACGAATGAGTAACGGCGTTTAAAAAATGAAAAATGTTCGAAGTGCGTAGGTGAATAAGTACGGCAAGTTGATGAGGAAATATCTGTACATGACATATGAACTGCTTTGCTTTGAAAATAATTTTGCAGGGCTTCCAGGTGTAGGGAAAACACACTTTTGGCTTTCAAGGTGGCCGCGGAGCACGGCGCAGACATGCTGGAGTTTGACATACACTTGACAAAGGACAAAGTCCCAGTCATCTTCCACGACTTCTACGTTGCACCGTACTCGTACATATCTATATCTACATAATATGCATGCATATTACAGTGCTTATTGTACATCACATCACGTAAGTTTTCTCATAATTTCAACAAATTCAATTCAAAGGGAGCACCAGCAGCAGAAGAGGACGAAAGAGAAGATACGGCTGGACTCGTTAACATTTCACGATTTGGTGCGGATGAGGAACGCGAAACATCGCCGACACGTGTTGGTCAACTCAACGACCAGCAGCAACACCAACACCAACATCATCAGCAGCAGCAGCAGGGGTTCCTCCAGACAATTTTCAACTGGCTCCAATGCCGATTTAGCTTCGCGAAACATCGCCGACACGTGTTGGTCAACTCAACGACCAGCAGCAACACCAACACCAACATCATCAGCAGCAGCAGCAGGGGTTCCTCCAGACAATTTTCAACTGGCTCCAATGCCGATTTAGCTGTTTCCAGATCTAAGCCGGGTGCGTATACATACAATATACTGTACTGTACTGTATATGGAAAGTCCTACCATTTATTTCATGTACTGTACTGTACAATAAACCTTTCCATTTTTGGCATTACTGTATTTCAACGTTTGGACAAAGAACCTGTTAACTTTAAAGTGCTCATATAGAGCCTGCAAAATATACTGCACTTTTCTTTTTTTTTGCTTGTCCCGAAGTTTGCTTGAATAGGTTCGTCTGTTACGTGAATACACACTGTACAGTAATGCGAAGAAAGAAGATGTTTTTGTCTGGCTAAAACTGTACAGGTGGACAGGTTCTTACTATACAGAGCTACAGTATAAGGTTTATATCATTACCGCATTTCAAACGTTGTCGGGATGCTTTACTCATCAAAACTGTTTTTGGCGCTTCAAAAAATCGGGGCTTGATTATAATTGCTGCTGAACAAGCATTAAATTATTATTCAACATACACTGTACACCACGTACTGCATATACAGTATATATACTGTATGTTGTATAGGGTCAGCAGTGTGCAGCCAGGAGTGGGAGCAGCAGCAGTGCGTGGGCCACGAGGACTGCTTGCCGTTCCCCTGCCTGGAATCGGCCTTCTGGAACATCACCCCCGACGTGGGCTTCAACTTGGAGATCAAGTACCCGCAGGACTTGGTGGACAACACGACCGAGCTGGACAAGCCAGTCATGGACATGAACGAGTACGTGGACGTGATTCACGCCAGCGTGGAGGCCTACAACAATCACGCATCAACTGCTGCTGCCAGGGTCATCCTCTACAGCTGCTTCCACCCCGACCTCTGCATCGCACTCCGCATGAAGCAGAACAGATACCCGGTCATGTTCCTCACTCAGGTATATACAGTACNACAACAATCACGCATCAACTGCTGCTGCCAGGGTCATCCTCTACAGCTGCTTCCACCCCGACCTCTGCATCGCACTCCGCATGAAGCAGAACAGATACCCGGTCATGTTCCTCACTCAGGTATATACAGTACTGCGAATGCTGATGATGGTAATATACAGTATATAGTTTAAACTGTATACAGTACTTCATTCCTTTGCCCCCTTTGGTTATATTTACTCAATTATACGCCTGCAATGCAAAGATCACCGAGATTTATAGCACACAATCAATCACATTATAGATGAGCGGTCAAGAATAACGAATGTTTTTCTTGGAATATTAAAATTGAAACGGGACATCAGATTGATCTTGAAAACAATCAGTCTTCAGCAAAAAATGTTCTTTGTCACAAGAAACAAAATTCAGCCACGTTTGACACATATTTCCAGAAATTTTTCGCAAAATTCACCCTGGTGTTTTCTTCGCTTCGCCCAAAAAAAAAATAAATAAATTTCAACAGCTGCCACTTTGTATGAGAATGAGGCGGCTGTTGATGAAAATAGCAGAATTGCAAGCATTGTAATTAGTCCCACGTCAATTTTAGGAATTATGAAGGAGAGGCTGGGCGCTATGCCAAGAAACCTGAAACATGGGCGCTTCATCTTATATGAAAGAGTGAAGAGCAGAAAGCTGCCAGGGTGACTTTTTCAAAAATTATGTCATATAGGAATAGGACTGATTTTTCTTTCTTTGTGCCAAAGAATGCTTGTTCTGAATAATTTTTCTTCCCGTCAATCATCTGCCATTTTAATTTTACCCCAAGAACTTTTGCTAGACCCCTCATATATACAAACCTGTTTTCATCGACGAACACAGGTGAATGTACACCTACCCTGCAGTGCCCCCTACTTCATTTTCTTCTTCTCCAATTATTTTCCCAAAATCAATTTCAACAGGTCTTTCAACGTGTTAATTATGGGACCGTGGAACACAAGTACAGTAAATTGCCAAGCATGTATACAGATATATGATTGAATAACTACAGGGTGCTAGTAAGAGATGGACG